ACTATTAATCCGGTCAAATCAAAATATGTATATGTAGATATATTTATACATACAGGGTGAGTCAAAAAAAAGGGTGAACAGCTTGATCTTGCATAGAATGAACCATTTTTTTGGTAATCTAATTTTTGTTAAATATATAAAAAAATTAAAATTTTTTTAATAGGCAATCTGACTCTTTAAAAAATCCGCGAAACTAATGTTTACTCAATATTAGATTAGTAGAAAAACAAAAAGTGCGTGAATATATTATTTCTATCAGTTGAGTACAGTTAAACCCTAAATGAGCCATACATCGAAAGAATTTATCAAGTGTTGGTCTGACAATTTTTCAATGGGTTTTATACTATTTTACGTAAATTTGAGTACTTGCGAAAAAAAATAAATAGCCATGAATATGCGGTAACAGTTTCAAAGAGCTCCATATAATCATTTAATCAAAAAACTTAATATCTGCAACATTACATTATCAAAAAGTGAAGAATACGACATTTGAGAAATTCTTTCGATGTATGGCTTATTCAGGGTTTAACTGTAGTTTCGGAGTAAATGCACGAATTAGATTAAGAAAATCAGCAATTTTAGATTTCGAAAAATTATCTGTATTCCAAAAATAAAAATATTCTCTGTTTTGTTGAAAATTCAGGAGCCATTGGAAGCAGAATTCCGGTTCTAATAAATATTTCAAGAAATATGACAATTTAAAAACGGACAACTCCAGTGTTGACTAAAACTCCTTCAGATAGACTTAATTAGACGGAATAAAAATTTCCCAAAAAAGTATATAGTAGCAATACTTAAGTGTATTTGATACAGGTGACTAGTTTTACTATAGACACTTATTAAATCACTAATTTAATGAATTGGGTCTCTTTACATTGCACAATTGCTGTGTATCATACTCAGTCATTGGACGTTTTAAAGTTATTACTTGATTCTAAAAGTCGTCTTCCTATTTCAGACTTTTCTGGTTATTACTGTTCTAAAACTAATAATTTTTTTATTCGTCTTGAAATTACCATGTTTTGTTAGACCCACTGTAAAAGCTAAACATGTTTTCGTAATACTTGTCAAGTATATAGTTGAACCAGATTAGAAATAAATGATTGATTTTTTCAGTTTATATATTTCGACATTCTAAAATGGCCCATTAGTACTAAAGCAAAAACAAAGCTAAATATAACAGAATAATTTAAAGAAAACAACATGTATACAACAGTGTCAATTTTTACCTACAGGTTGGGGGGAAGACACAGGTCAACTGATTAGATGTAAAACATTGTGAAACGGTATGTGGAAGGGGGGGAATACAGGGTCTTTTTATCTTCAGCTAGGGTTTTATTCTAGTTTAAACTAGAAATTCAAAAACACGTATCTTCACTAGATTTAAGAACACGTATCTACACTAGATTTAAGAACACGTATCTACACTAGATTTAAGAACACGTATCTACACTAGATTTAAGAACACGTATCTACACTAGATTTAAGAACAAAATCTATGTTATAATATATTTAGCAAAGATTATTTTTAGTAAAGATACGGCATCAGAAATGCACCTTTATTTTGTAAACGGTGCCCACAATCCACATCTTTATTGACGAAAGATTAAATTGACGACATTTGTAACATTATAAGGCCAACAAGAGCACAAGTTTTGCATGCAAGAGTTGATTTTTTGCATCGTATATAGCAGTTAGCATTTGCGTATATGAACAAAAAGTTACACAAAAAAGTTCATATAACTTATTACTTTAAATTGCAAATTTAAAAATGCTTTCAGCGAGTTTTTATATGCTGGAATTCAGGGTTTCCAATCGGAATTCCGTTGCGCGGAATTGCGCGTAATTGCGAGGAATGGCGTGTAGTTCGTGTAGTTTACAGGGCTCGCAATTGCGCGCAAGTAAAATCCACTTGCGTTGGAAACTCTATGCTGGATGTACATTGCACACTGCACAGACCTCTCTTACAAAAAGTTGAGCTATACACTACACATGTTTTTTGGTGTTTTCATTTATAACTTTCTCTTCAAACCAGTTTTTCCAGATTCTGTTCTAAATTCAGATATTCAAATTCCAAAACGGCGGATCGGGAGGGGGGGCGGGGGAGAGATTGAAGATTGATTAAACGACTGGAATTGACTACAAAGTGATTCAGTGGACTACTCAAGATTGCACTGGACTACATAGGACTATCGATCTATAGAGGAGACTATTCTGAATACTCGCCACAAAATCTGTTTTTCTAATCCTGATATATTTGTAAACGTATTTCAAACTATAAACTTCATTCTAGAATAAATAGTTTAAAATAACAAATATTTAAGCCATAAGGTTGCAAAGATATAGGATTTGGAGAAATATAGTAGATGGCGAGTAGTCAATTAGTTTCTTGTAAGAATTAAATTTTACATTCACCTTTTTAAAAAGAGTGTAAACTTGTTCCTGTTTAACCAAAGGCTTAAAATTTAATGTGACCTTCCAGTTAAAAAAGTGGCATGTTCGATTCACAACAGTACCATTCAACCCCTTATCTGATCAAGGATGTGAAAGATAAAAAATACTTAGCTCTGATAACTCATACCAAAAGTGCTCATGTCACTTTTTAGAGAAAACACAATTGAAAATAATCAGTTTTCAAAACCCGGAGGAACATTGATATTATTCTATATCAGGGAATGTAGTGAGTAGCGTAGAGAATCGGACATGCTGCTGTTTATTTCAAATTATGCCTATATACCCTTTAATTGACCAGAATTTGAGATTAAGATCAAATGCATGTAAACCTGCTTTTATGTAGGTTAATTGAAAAAATATTAGCAGGAATTAAGGGGTGTTACGCTAAGCTAAACATTAGGGTTTCCAGCAAGAGAACAGTTCCGCAAAAAGTAAATTTTTCTTATTTCACAAACTTTTTCACGAAATTTTGCATTAAGTCGCACTAATCTTTGTCGCGAAAAATATGCGAAATTTCTCGCAAATTATGTTTTGTTCCGAAAAAAAGATTAATGATACACAAAAAAAGGGATTTTTTTGAGAATCAAAAAAACGTTCGCAAAAAATGCGAATGATAAACATGATAAATATAAAGTAGCTATTACATTGTCACGTATAATGTAAATTGGGACACACTTTTTGGACTCACCAGGAATTATAAAATGTTTAAATTCGGTTTTTTGAAAAAGTTCCATGTTTTTATTTTTGGAATCGACGGGTTCGAGGTTACCAAGAGTTCTTAAGAATATGAAGCTACAGGGGGATGCTTAAAATTAAGGAATAGAAGACGACTGTCATGATTTCAAATAGTCCAATGAACAAGTTAAATTTTGAGCTGCTGCATTAAATCCCCACGGTTTCTGTTAACATTAAATGAGCATAAGATTGCTTAAATGTCGGTTTCTTTTTGCCATTTTTGTATGCGTCTCACTTTACCCGTAGTCCGTGCCCATTCTAAATTGACAAGACTTGAATCCCTCAGCCGTATGGATTAGATAACGATTGGATTAGATAACGAATGCATCGGATAACGATTGGATCGGATAAAGGATGGAATGGATACAGGATGGATCAGATAACGAATGGATCAGATACGAATGGACTGGATAAGGCATGGATTAGATTTTGATAAGACCAGAAAATGTTTGAATCAGTTGACCTATATTTTGGCTTGGAACGGAAAACCACACAAAGATTGAAAGATTGAAGAATTAACATATTAATTAACATCAAGTTATGATTTTTTAATAGTCCAAAGCACATTGGACACAGCAATGGTGTATGCAGTGTAAACAAACCCATTTCACTTAATTTGTGATTTAATAAGTGTTTAGTAACACTAGTTGCTTTTTAAAAGCTTCGAATTAGGGTTTGCAGCGAAAAAGAAAAGCATTTCGTGAAAATTTCGTTTTCGCTTCATTCATTTTCGAGAAAAAATGCGAAATTTCGTGAAACGTTTCGTTCTCTGCAAACCCTACTTCAAATACACGAAGCCCTAAACAGGCTGGGGGGGGCGTTTAGCGCCCCCTCCCTGTAGTTTTTGTCCTGACACTCTCATTTTTGACACTATCACTGTGAAATTTTGTGAATTTTAATGAATAATAATTTAAAGGATTTCTTGTAAATCTTTTTTTATTTTAGGGTAGGGTACAGGGCGGAAAAAAGTCCGGTCTGTGAAAAAAAATCTAAAATAGCCTTTTTTGTGACTAAAACTTCAGATCTAAAAGCCCTTTGAAAAGCCCTTTGAAAAGCCCTTGAAAAATGCATGTAGAAAGTGTGTCACACTTTGATATTTGTTTAAAACCAAAAAAAATTTTTTTCATTTTTTTGAACCTTTATTAGGCATTTTCCACACTCCCTAGCACCCAAACTATTAAAGTTATCGGTCTAATATTTTTTTCTTTGAGCTGGCAATGAGAAATTGGGCTATGAACATGCATTTCAACCCAATGACTATTCTCTAAGGCCTTTTTATAGGTGGGGCGCCAAACGCCCCCCCCCCCGCCTCTATAGGGTTAAGAATCGCTATAAAGTCGTCTTCCAATTTCTGAGTTTTTGTTATCAATTTACATATTTTTTAGCGTGGTTTCACTGTTACCGTTGTAAACTGTTGCTACTGAAATAACCAACCTACCCTATCCAACCAACTTTATAAACTGGTCTATTTACGCCCCCTCCCCTCTCCCTCCTTCTCCGAGTATCACTTGTATACATATTGTGTTAAAAGGATGAAAATAGGTCAGTAATCATGAGAGTAGGGTGCAACAAATATTCGAGTTTCTTATTCTTTACAAAAAAAAACATTTTTAGGATATTTATCAAATTAAGAGTAAGTATCAAAATGATAATGTAGGAAGCTTATTTAAACAATTTTATTATTTCAGCAAAACAACAACTTTTCCAAAAATTTCCTGAAATTAAGATTTTTTAAAAAAGGTGGTAATTCTCTGGACATGGGTATTTTGTTCCACCAATTACTTGCCTAGACTGTATTTGTACTTAATCGGCAGGTTTAGTACACAAATATTTTCCTAGACTGTAATTATTTTTAATCGGCAGGTTTTAGTACAGAAATATGTTCAGGAGCAAAGAAACTTCATAAAATTTAAATGAACACAATTTTAATATAAGGCTGAGGATTTAAACAAGGCTCTCTAGATACTACTGTTTGGCCAATGAGAGTTAAGGTTAGAGAGTTTATATATTACAGGAAGAAACCTGACCGTAGGCAGATTGCATGAAACCTATGTAAATGAACAAGTCTCTAGTAAAGTCAAACATAATTTACGCGAATCCGGCTGAAAGTGTGTGGAGAATTCCACTGTTAAAAGATTTACTATTAATCCGGTCAAATCAAAATGTTTTAGAAGGATTTAGCTATGATGAAATAGATGTAATTTTTGATGAAAGGAATTGTGTCTTTGCAACATACTCTGATTTTCTAGTCCTTGTATTGTCCCAACCAAATGTCGTAGACCTTAGATATTTCAAACTATGAATTATGTTAGTTTAAATTATCTAAGTTTGAAATATCAAATGTGTACAACATCAGGTCGCTAAGATATTGGAATTCAAAAATTTAAGTTTGTGGCAAAAACTCAATTCCTTTGTAAAAACTAACTCTCGTTGATTTTAAATTCTACCATTATAATTGTTTAAGAATAAATAGAATAAAAAGAATAAAAATAAGATTTTACTGTAAAAATAAATGTAAAATTTGACAAACAATACATTGATTGAAATCATAGCCCGTAAATCAATAAATCATATTTCTTAAATCCGGAGCCCGCGAATTAAAAACTTCGGCTCGAGCCGTAAATCCTTAAACCTAGCTTTAAGACCCAATCTTCGACCCAACTCTGACGACAGCTTGTGTCACGTGATTGACAGCTGCAAGATCTTCAGCTTGACTTAAGGAGTTAGGTTCAATGAAAATAAAACCGACCTTGGTTGGTTTTAGTAGAGAATAAGGCTCAATGTTGCGTCTTGTTCTCATAAAAACTGGGAATGCGCCAATTCCTACCATGCAAATCCGCCAAATAGAATATTAAGCCAGTTTTTTTGACCTCAACTCTGTGGAAAATAAGATGCAGCTTGAATCCAAAAGCTCAAGCCGTAAATAAGGCCCAACGACAGCTTAGACTCGAGCCGTATTTTCACGAATTTTTAAAATCGCGGGCTCTGGAAACCAAGGAAGTATTTCGCATATACTCTAGTGACTCTGGTATACAAACAATTTTGACAAACTTTCCTTAAATTGAATTTAAACTTTTTGAGCATTTAAATCCTGGCAGATGTGTATTCAGGGGGGGGGGGGTGCTCAAACTTTCTGGCATTTCTAACTAACACATACCCCTAACTTAGGGCTAAAAGCTGAGTCCTCAGGCATACTGCCTAAATGCCTTATTTTACCTATACCAGACTAAATCTATATTTAGACCTACTTCCAGCCATACAAAAGCAAGCATATTGCACTATTTTTGCAAAGAAATTTTGCACCAATTTTTGGCACAGACGCTTTTAAAGGGAATTTGAACATTTTCAGTTTTTCTTGAATACTCATTTAGGTTTTAAAGATTTTGCAAATGCGTTTCAATATTTTAATTTGTTGGGTCAAAAATGTATAATTTGTCGCAATTTGCGCATTTGTTTGCACATATTTTGCTCAATAACTAGATTTCAAAATAAATATTTGGATTTTTGCAAATTTTCCATTTTTTGCAGATTAAGTAGAGCCCAAGGGTCTTCCAAAAACGTATCAAATGTTATAGATTTGTATCACAATAAGATTAAGAAAATAGAGGTGGGGGGGTTAAACCAGACGTCAGGCTAAATAGGGTTAAGTTTCAACAAATCATAATGCACTAATACTATACATAGCTAAATTACAATAAGGATACATAAGCAAAACGGACTAAATCACCTTTCTTTTGAAGATTTTTGTAAATCATGCCACTCTACAAATAATGGGTCACTTGTAACTGCATCTCCAATCCCTTTCGTATGCCTTGTGAAAATATTCCTTTACAAATAGCTATATTAGGATGGGAAGGAACATATGCATTTTCAAGAGCACTTTAGACTGGTAGTCATGAATTTGATGCGAGGTATTTTCCCAAAGGTTTTTCCCAAGTGTCAACTTCCCAAGGGTATTTTTCCAAGTGGCAACTTCCTAACTGTGCAACTTCCCAAGTCTATACTAGCCCTTAGCCTGTTCTAGCCGCAGCGCTAAGCCCCCTAGCCCATCTGAGTTGCAGTGACTGGCCCCAATAGCAGCTTGCAGCAACTCAGAAGGCCTAATCTAACCTTTAGGAAGTTGCCCATTTAAAAATTGCACATTTGAGTAGTTGCCACTTGTGAAATTGTCCTTTGGGAAAATATCCGCAAATAGATGACAACATATATATTGATATTGAGTATGCATCTGCTAACTTTGCGATATCAGTACAGTACAGTGGATGGTTTACACTGTACATGAAGTTATCTAACAGTACATAATTCAGTATGCACGGTTAATTGTACGTCTGATAGCTGCAGCGTTTATCCTTTATTGTTTAATCAACATTGCCTGGAATATGATCAGCAAGGTAAGCTAAAAAGAATATAAACAAATTCTGAAAGAACTTTGTGGGGAAATTATCGGGCATAAACTTCTCTTTTACAAAAATTCCCCGAACTTTGATTCAGTCTTAAGAATTTCACAGTTTCGATGTTCGAGAAAAGTATCCGCACCTGAAAAAAACTTGGGAAATGTCCCAACCCCAAGCAACAAATTTCGAGATTGCCAGATTTTTTCCACTCTTGTTTCCAGGGTATTTAGCCAAAACATAAATGTTCTAAACATCTTAAAGAATATGCGATGCTTGAAAAATATAGCCTCTGTGAAGGATAAGAAAGGGTTCCAATAATATTGAAAGAACTGCTAGACTTGTTACAGTTCATTAGATGTAATTTGATGAAATATAATTTGGAATAAGCCTCAATTAATCAAAAATAATTTCTGAAGTTCAAGGGATGGTTAATGTAATTTCAAGTGACCTTCCATCAAAGAAATTGATTTGCAGATTTATGCAGCAAAGAAAATGAAGAAAATGAAGAAGGCATGAAACGAAGATATCTTCAAATTTGTTGCTTGAACAAATATATAAAGGGTACCGTGGTGAATTGTAAATGCTACTCTGTAATAAAAGATGACTTGAAATGCTTCTACACCACCTCCAATTACCTTTTTCCTTATTCATCATCATTTTGTTATGTTTAAAATGTACAGTGTACAGTGTACACCCATCTATTTATTTACAATTCTCATTCTCTTATAATGAGCCAACCAATGCAAATAACCTATACCCTGGTAAGGCGGGTCAAAACTACAAAGTAAATTTTGATTTTTTATTTGTATTTTCTCGTGCTTTGAAGTTGAATAAAAATATGAATATGAATAAATCTGAGAAATAATGAGAAAGATGTCTTTTTTTCAGTCCTTCAAGTTTAATTTTTATCTGCAGGTCACTTATACAGAGAACCCAGCATTTTAAACTTATCAATATTTAGGTAGAAAAACAACGAAACCATCATCATTTTTGTTCAGACAAAGATATAAAGTGTAAATTATTTGAATCAAAGGGCCACTAAAAATTACATCAAGAGTCTCTTTAATAAAGGATTGATTGCTGCAGGTGCTTCCTGCAGTGGTAAAGTCTGCTGGTGGATCCAGGAACAGCCTCTTTAATAAATGATTGATTGCTGCAGGTGCTTCCTGCAGTGGTAAAGTCTGCTGGTGGATCCAGGAAAGCACTCAAGGCAGAGGATGAGGAATTATAGTGTTCTTCTCGCAGAATGCATCTCTTTAAAATCCAAAGGTTAAATAAATTTTAAGAAGAATACAGGGCATTTTTCATGATATTGTGCTTTCTGAGGCCGGATCTAAAGAATTTAAGCTGCATCCCAAATTTGAGACACAAATCAAACATAGTTGGTTCCACTTTAAATTCTATTCAGTGTTTCGAAATTTAAGCCGGCGCTCAATTGAAACTGGTTTTTGGCAATGCGGCCTCTAATCATGTCTTAAGAGACCAAGTTTATCTAAATTCTTGTTGGCATAAATAAAAATATTGAACTTTGTTTAATTTACACTTAGATATTATAGAGAAGAGTTCAATAAAGGGTCCAGCTTAATTAAGCTTTGGTGCATTTATGTTAAATCTGAAAAAGCATAATTTTTTGCTCAATTACGTTTGTAAGTAATTTGTTTATTTAATCTTTTTTTTCATAATCTTGTCTAAGTGATTTTTTAGGTTGTTACCTACCAATCAACTATGGTGGGCTAAAGGATTATTTCTAATTTTGGTTTTGGTGGTCATGGTTCAGTTAACAACATGGTTAGAGACCAGAATATCAAGAAAAAGGTGATATATTCATCAGCACCATATATATTTTCCAATTTTCCAGAAAATTTAACTGCTTCCTTCATCAGCACCATATATATTTTCCAATTTTCCAGAAAATTTAACTGCTTCCTTCTTCAGCACCATATATATTTTCCAGTTTTCCAGAAAATTTAACTGCTTCCTTCATCAGCACCATATATATTTTCCAATTTTCAAGAAAATTTAACTACTTTCTTCATCAGCGGGGTATATATTTTCCAACTTGAAAATCGAAGACTCCCCTATGATTTAATTGAAACCTATAAAATTATTCATGGTGTTAATAATGTTAATAAATGTACTTGGTTTTCAATGTTAGCAGATACATCCAATAGGATTACAAGAATGTCAGAAAATCCTCTTTCACTTAGTGCCAAATTTTGTACAACTGATATTCGTAAACATTTTTTTAGCCAAAGAGTTGTTTCTCCATGGAATGATTCACCCTGTGATATAAAAACTGCACCAACGTTAAATACTTTTAAATCCAGATATGATAAATATGTAAAAAATTTCTAATCTAGTTTATTTTGTTGGGACAAAGAGAGCCGAAAAAAGATTACTTAAAAGAAAACAGAAAGGCCAAATAAGAAAAAAAAAATAATCTAAGAAAAAATGTTAAAAAAACATGTCAAAAAAAAAATGTCAAGGAAGAGAAAAAATAAAAACTCTACCAAAAGAAAAAAATAAATGTCCCTTATTTTTAATCTTGATTCACTGGATATTCGTAATTATTGAATATAATATACTCTGTATATTAATGTGATATATGCAACCATATGAATCGGAAATTTTCTTATATACTCTGCCAGGAGTCCTGAAAATAATCCTAACATAAACATAAACATAAACTTTCCAGAAAATTTAACTGCTTTCTTTATCAGTTGGGTGTATATTTTCAATTTTCCAGAAAATTTAACTGCTTTCTTCATCAGTACCATATATTTTTTCCAATTTTCCAGAAAATTTAACTGCTTCCTTCATCAGCACTGTATATTTTTTACAATTTTCCAGAAAATTTAGCTGCTTTCTTCATCAGCACCGTTTATTATTTCCAATTTTCCAGAAAATTTAACTGCTTTCTTTATCAGCGGGGTATATTTTTTCCAATTTTCCAGAAAATTTAACTGCTTTCTTCATCAGCACTGTATTGATTTTCCAATTTTCAAAAAAATTAACTGCTAATTCTAGCCTTATCAGCACCGTATATATTTTTCAATTTTCAAGAAAATATAGCAGCTTTCTTTATCATGTTTTTGTTCTTCTTTATAAATTGCTAAAACAGTTTTAAGTCAAATCTTATAAGTATGCAATTCAACATTAGCATTATGCAAGAAAATGTGATCTTGATTTACAAATTTAAAAAAAAAATAAAATCTTATTAACTTTTTAACTTTAGGGCAGAAAGAATTTCGATTATAGATGCCAAGATTGCTGACATTGTTAGAAACAAGGTTCAGCCAACATTTTCAGGTTAAATAAAAAAATTATAGAAAGGATAATAAGACAGACAGGACAGATAGGACAGATAGAACAGATAAAACAATTAGGACAGATAGAACATGTAGGAAAGATAGAACAAATAGAACAGGTAGGACAAATAGTACAGATAAAACATACATGATAGAGATAGAACAGAAAGGACGGATAGGACTGATAGGATAGAACGGACAGAAATGTGAGATAGGAGAAATTGGACAGTGTAATGCATGATTAATGTTTTTTATCAAATACAAGCCAGATGTAAATCCTAGGGATTCTCGAGGTCAATCATTTGCACTCATGGTTTAGGGTTTATGCAAATATTTCACTCTAGATCCCCGTACTCTTGTTTTAGTATCGATTTCTTTAATAACCTCTATGTATATAACTCTGCGAGTATAAATGAATGGGATGGATCAGTTTCATAGTTTATTTATTAAATACATCTGTCAGGTTTATTCCTGTTTTTATCAGGTCCTTTATTATTCAGCTGCTACCGTTTAGGGTCTGTCTGAGCAGCTAAACTATACCCTTTAGCTGCTTAGGTCTCTACGGAGCTTCCATTACCTTCCTAGCTGCTTCCTTTAATTCTCGGAACCCCGGATATCCTAGTTATCCTATGTGTCCTGAGATGAAAACTTTAGATTGGTGGATCAATGCCTTGATCTCCTCTTTTTCTTGATCTCCAGATTAAATAATGCTTGTTCTCCTCTTGTTTTTAATCTCCAGATTAATTAAGCAATCGGGATTAAGGATATCCCATTCTAAAGTTTTCAGCTCTGGAAATCCTAGTTCCCTTATGTGTCTTGGATATCCTAGTTATCCTATGTGACCTGGATATCCTAGTTCCCTTATGTGTCCTGGATATCCTAGTTCTCCTATGTGTCCTGGATATCCTAGTTTCCCCATGTGTCCTGGATATCCTAGTTCTCCTATGTGTCCTGGATATCCTAGTTCTCCTATGTGTCCTGGATATCCTAGTTCTCCTATGTGTCCTGGATATCCTAGTTCTCCTATGTGTCCTGGATATCCTAGTTCTCCTATGTGTCCTGGATATCCTAGTTCTCCTATGTGTCCTGGATATCCTAGTTCTCCTATGTGTCCTGGATATCCTAGTTCTCCTATGTGTCCTGGATATCCTAGTTCTCCTATGTGTCCTGGATATCCTAGTTCTCCTATGTGTCCTGGATATCCTAGTTCTCCTATGTGTCCTGGATATCCTAGTTCTCCTATGTGTCCTGGATATCCTAGTTCTCCTATGTGTCCTGGATATCCTAGTTCTCCTATGTGTCCTGGATATCCTAGTTCTCCTATGTGTCCTGGATATCCTAGTTCTCCTATGTGTCCTGGATATCCTAGTTCTCCTATGTGTCCTGGATATCCTAGTTCTCCTATGTGTCCTGGATATCCTAGTTCTCCTATGTGTCCTGGATATCCTAGTTCTCCTATGTGTCCTGGATATCCTAGTTCTCCTATGTGTCCTGGATATCCTAGTTCTCCTATGTGTCCTGGATATCCTAGTTCTCCTATGTGTCCTGGATATCCTAGTTCTCCTATGTGTCCTGGATATCCTAGTTCTCCTATGTGTCCTGGATATCCTAGTTCTCCTATGTGTCCTGGATATCCTAGTTCTCCTATGTGTCCTGGATATCCTAGTTCTCCTATGTGTCCTGGATATCCTAGTTCTCCTATGTGTCCTGGATATCCTAGTTCTCCTATGTGNAGACGATCTATCCTCTCCTTCTCTTCTCTCTAGTAGGTAGGATCTAGGAGATGGAGCAGACGATCTATCTTCTCCTTCTTTTCTCTCTAGTAGGTAGGATCTAGGAGATGGAGTAGACTGTCTATCCTCTCCTTCTCTTCTCTCTAGTAGTTAGGATCTAGGAGATGGATTAGACGGTCTATCCTCGCCTTCTCTTCTCTATAGTAGGTAGGATCTAGAAGATGGAGTAGACGGTCTATCATCTCCTTCTCTCTGGTAGGTAGGATCTAGGAGATGGAGCAGACGATCTATTCTCTCCTTCAGGTAGGATCTAGGAGATGGAGTAGACGGCCTATCCTCTCCTTCTCTTCTCTCTAGTAGGTAGGATATAGGAGATGGAGCAGATGAACTGGCACAAAAAATGCCGTAAGTGCAACTGCAGTGTAGAATGCCGATGATATATTCATTACTCATACAAAAAAAAGGATAATCCAAACCGATCTTGCAAGCATTAATGTAATTAGCTCAAAAGTACAAAGATTCTTTTAATATAAGATATATCACCGAAGGTAAATTCAACTGTACTGTTGGTTTCGTACTTCGTAGCCATCTTGGATCTAATTCAGGGATGAGTTCCGATTACTTGGAATTAAATTCTGCAAATTTCGGAATTGTTTTCTGAATTTAGAATTATATTCTTTTTATATCGGAATTGAGTTCTAATATATAAAATACAGAATCAAATTCCGATAATGACAGAATATTCTTTCCTAAATTAAGAAAATGATTTCCGGGATGAAAAGGAATCATATTCTGACATTAAGGAAAGGGATATCCTTGAAAGTCGGAAAATGATTCTCATTTATAGGGAACTTATTTCCATTTCCATTCCCCGTGTGTGTTTACAGTGTAGTTCTCCTATGTGTCCTGGATATCCTAGTTCTCCTATGTGTCCTGGATATCCTAGTTCTCCTATGTGTCCTGGATATCCTAGTTCCCTATATGTGTCCTGGATATCCTAGTTCTCCTATGTGTCCTGGATATCCTAGTTCTCCTATGTGTCCTGGATATTCTAGTTCTCCTATGTGTCCTGGATATCCTAGTTCTCCTATGTGTCCTGGATATCCTAGTTCTCCTATGTGTCCTTCAGTTATTGCTGCCACAGATGTGTACAGAGCTCTTCTGCAATGAGAGGCGTCTCCGTATTCAGAATCTGCTGCTTCTACAACAGGGTAATGAAGAGCTGTCTGCAACAAGCAGCTTCTTCCATCTCTGATACTAGATCTTTTTATCTGTAGACCTCTTGGTTTCTCGATCATGTCTGGAGGACGATAGATTCCGTCCTCATAGATCCTCATGGTCTCTTCTTCACCTGGAGTCATTGGTCTATATTGGCTCCGGTGTCTCTGTAGAGAGAACCAGCATGAGAATATGGAGCTTGTGTATGTCCTAGAGGTCCTGGCTTTTCTGTATCGCGGGTGTCCCTGTCAATAGAACCAACTTGAGAATATGGAGCTTCTGCATATAAATAGTTAATATTTCATAATATTTTTAATTTTGTTTTTTTAAATAATATTTCGCTGGCGTTGGATTTTCGAACATTCCTGGAAAATATGAAAATGTCGTCTTCATTATTAAAAATCATCGAAACTGGAATAAATGTTTTCAAAAGTAACTATTAGATCATAAAAAATAAAAACATATTATGAAATATCAACTATATACGAATGCGTTGAAAAATTATCGATGATTATTGGTTGTAACATCTGAATGATTTGTTTGGAATTAAATTGATTTTTTTACGATCAGAGTTGAATGTTGCAACTTTCTCAATTTGTATGGACTCTATGTTCTTAAGCATGAGTCGTTTTTAACAATTTCCTCCTTATAGACGCAACAGATAGAAGTAAGATTAGTAGCGATCAAAAGTGCTTATTTTTCGCCTAAACCCCCTTTCATTTTTCGCGAACACTCCTTTTAAGAGTAAATTAATCTTGAAATTAACAAAACTATCGAAGATCAAGCATTGATCTCAATATCCACAGTTCTAAAGTTGTCACCTCAGTTTATACAATAATTAAAAAGATAATTTAATAGCTGTGGATAATTTTCATATTATTTAGGATTAGGAGGAGCTAGGACTAATATACTTATCCTTCATTATCATCCTGTTTGTCCACTGTGTAAACTTACAACGGTAACTTGGTAATTTATTATTAAAGGGACTGGGCCGTAATTTCCTAGCAAATATGACAATGTTCGATTCACAACGGATCACAATTGAAACCTTACTCTGATCAATAATATGGAAGAAATTGTCGTTTTTCTTTGCTTAACAGTATTTAGTTATAATCATTTCCTTGTGGTCTCCTAGAGCAGAAATGCGCAAGCCACTTATTGAAAATAATCAGTTTTCATAATTATAAACAATGATATCTAATTTATACAGATTATAAAAAGCTTTTAAGGGCACCGCTGTGAATCGGGCATTACCATCACTGCATGGAGGGTCATTTGAAATTACGCCTACAGTCCTTTTAATCACGTGAGGTTGTAATATTTCAGCAAGAGGGGGAGAGCGAGGGGGGGTCGGTCTAGAAGATTTATGAAAGTACGGGGGGGGGCAGAAAATGATTTTTAAAATTTAGAATTATTCTGCAAAAATAATTATTTAAAAAATTTAGTCAGGTTTACTAGTTTGTAAATAACATTTAATCCCTGTAGGACCAGAAAGCCATTACGTGGTTTACGATAGCTAGAGGTCCTCAAAAAATGTTAAAGTAAATTGACTCTTTCATTTTCTCAGTGTCAATTCATACTTTAGTAACATTAAAACGACGCGAGGCTTATGTAATCTTTTGAGGCTTACTTAGGGGGGCTATGGGGGCTTACTCAGTAAAATCTTTGGTTTCAAGCAGGCTTTTTTAAGTTTCAGGCTCTAAAGAACGGGTGCTGAAAGAAGAAAAAAATTAAGACCCTCCCCTCCTGGACAAATTCCTGAGTTTGCCCCTGAATCTTAATGTTGACAATTTCACATGAAATCATGACATTTTACTATAATTTCAAAGAAAATTATTGCAAATGTAATTTAACTCTGACACTCGGGATTATAAAAATGTTATTTTTAGGAAATACCCAACTCATTTCAAGTTGATCTTTATCAGAAGGTAAAAAATATTTAATCTAGACAAATGTTATAATCTGCATTTTAAAGAGACAATGAATGATGAAATTTTTGTTTTTCTAGTTGAAAATTTAAACCTTTCTGGCGCGACTTTTTCAGAAAGTAAATAAATAAAATTAAAGTGAGAAATTATAATATAAAGCACTGTCATCGTTCATACTCCAAAATACAGAAGGAGAAAATGAAATTTATGAGACAGCTTTATCAATCATTGGTTACAAATTCAAATCATCTTTATTCTATTAAATAGCAGTTAAATAAGCAAGGAGTATGATTTAAACATGAAACTGTAAGATTTTGATCTCATGTGAATTTTATTTAACGTGAGTCAAAACAAAAAATAGACAAATAGATGAAGAAAAGTTTGATTGAGGAAATGGTCTGTGAAAGGATTCAGATAGACACAAAAAAGAGTAGATAGATGAAGAGTAGTTAGATTAAGAAAACGTTATGTTAAAGGATACAGATAGACACAAAGATGAAGAGTAGTTCAATTAAGAAAACGGTATATTAAAGGATACAGATAGACACATAGATGAAGAGTAGTTAGATTAAGAAAACTTTATATTAAAGGATACAGATAGACACATAGATGAAGAGTAGTTCGAATAAGAACTAATAAAGGATACTGTTAAACACAAAGATGAAAAATAGTTCGATTAAGAAAACGTTATATTAAAGGATACAGATAGACACATAGATGAAGAGTAGTTCAATTAAGAAAACGTTATATTAAAGGATACAGATAGACACAAAGATGAAGAGTAGTTCAATTAAGAAAACGGTATATTAAAGGATACAGATAGACACATAGATGAAGAAAAGTTAGATTAAGAAAATGGTCTAGTAAAGAATACAGATAGACACATAGATGAAGAAAAGTTAGATTAAGAAAACGGTCTATTAAAGAATTCAGATGGTTCGGTAATTATGTTTTTTTATTTCTTACAGTTTCTTCTTCAGTTTTTGGATTTGAGGAATACAGCTCTACTTCCAACCTTACTTCAAACAAATGCAGTAACGTTGGCCAGTGCAGTTAATCTTATTCGGTAAAATTTATTATTTCGATCACAATTTGACCCATTAAACATAATTTGTTAGCCTTTTTATTAAATACTTTTTTGTTGGCATATGCATTTTGAATGAAAATGTATAAAATAAACAAATCCGTAAAGTAAATGAGTATTGAATATAAGACCAAACCACGTTTGATTTCAAATAGAAGAAACCGAATGCTGCTCACTCTGGTTAGTCCGGTGTGAAAGAGAAGATGTTAATTGACAACTTCTCTTTAGGTATGTGTCTCTGCTGCTTAAAAGCTTGGCAGAAGTCAAAATTAAAAAAGAAAGTTACCTTTATTGTATTGATATATACGACAACGACTGTAGGTCTTATCAAATCACATATATAACCCTAAATTAACTAGTGCCTGAGTTGTCAGGCATACTGCATGAATTCCTAATTATACCTATCCAAGTAACCAGACTAGATCTTTTAAATTCGCTGGTTCAAAAATGTATGATTTGTCATATTCATCATTTTTTCGTACATTTTTGTTAAATAACCGTGATTCTCAAAAAATATTCTGCTTTTTGCCAACTTTTGAGTTGAAACCGCCCGTGCAATTTATTCTAAAAACTAGTCTGGAAACCTCTTTTTACATCAAAAATTTAAAGTCAAAGATTTTCAAGATTTTAATTGTACACACAAATAAAATGTAACAAAATTTAAGATAAAAACAACAACAACAAAAAAGCTAAAAGCTAAAAGCATAACTTTTAGCTGAAACAAAAAACTCTCATATTCAATTTTATCGTCCACCAATGTGTTTTTAAACCTACACGATAAACCCCCTCCCAATAGTCCATATATTGTCTATAGTAGCTGAAATGCCCGGCGTTGCCCGTGGAATTTAAAAACACTTTGAACAAAAAATGTTGTCCAGCCGTTTGGCTATCTCTTTGATTTTTATTTTCAAATTACAAGCAAAGAAAGAGATGATGTTAAATTACAGCTTCTTTTTGTTTCCATGTTAAATGTGTCTTTATGCTGTTTAAGGTTTGGTAGAAATAACATTTTAACGTGAAAAGTTGTCTTGTATTAATATACGACAATTGAATATGATACATAGTAAATACACTACTCCCCCCTCCCCCCCTCAATCTGTTATGTGTTAAACCCACCAAGATAGTAGTTACCACCCCCCCCCCCCTCCTACCAACTACCAAACCACCCACCCTAGCTTCTCCCCTATCCAAATAATCTTTAATACCGACTCCCCCCTCACACCCATACCCCCACCCCCACCTTTAACACTGTTTATCTGCATGTATTTAATTTAAATGGGGAGGTGCTGAAGGGACGCCACGAGCCCCGCGAAATGGTATCCAAGTCTCTGGATTCGCAGATGAGTTTATAAAATGACCTGGCGCTACCCGCTATTTTTTAGGATGCTATGAAACGCCTCAACACGGAAACTGATCTAAATTAAGCAGAAATTAATCAAATTACTCATTTCTTAATGTATTTCCGCGATTTCTTCGAATTTTTCGGAAATCCCTCAAAATTCAGATTTTGAAGAGTTTCCTCTTTTTTTTGATCGATTTACCAAAATTTTAGATCCATTTCTGCTTTATTTCAATGAAATATTTTCAAGGGATTTCCTAATATTTTTGTGTGGATTCCCAATATTTTAACTCCGTTTCCTCATATTTTTTATCTGTTTTAGCTTTTTGTTCAAAAACTTTAAAATTGATCTGTTTCCTCATATTTTAGATCGGTATCCTCAAATCTTATGTGCATTTCCTCATATTTTAGATTCGTTTCAGCTTCTTTCAAAAACTTTAAAAATCTCAATTTGTTGTTCTGTTTCCTTAAATTTTTCATAACAAACCAAAATATGAAAAATACTTATATTTCATTGAATGAGGAAACAGAGTAAAAAAATGCACTAAAAAGGCTTTACTAATTGCATGGAAGACCATGAAAGAAAAGCATATTTAATGAATTTTATTTGAAAATAAAAATAAATGCAGGATCAAAAAGCTTATTAGACAAAAGAATACAGAAAATAGTTTTTCTTTGGAAGGAACATTAAAAAGCAAAAACAAATTGAGATTTTAAAAGTTTCTGAAAAATCGGAAACGGATCAAAAATATAAGAAAACAAACCTAAAATTGAGGAAACCAAGAAACAAATGGAGATTTTTAATGTCTTTGAAAAAAGCGGAAACGGACGTAAAATTTGAGAAGACAGATTAATTTTAAAGTTTAAAAAAAAGCAGAAACGAATCTAAAATATGAGGAAACAGATCAATTTTAAAGTTTTTGAAAAAGAGAAAACGTATCTAAAATATGAGGAAACAGACCTAAAATTTGAAGAAACTGATCAACAAATTGAGATTTTAAAGTTTTTGAAAAAAGTGGAAACGGATCAAAAATATGAGGAAACTGACCTAAAAATATGAGGAAACCGACCTAGAATAAGAGGAAACCATTCAAATATAAATATTAGGAAACAGATACAAAATATTCGGAAATCCCTCAACAGTTCAAAACTTTTGAGGGATTTCCTCAAATTTCTAAAAAAAGGAGATTCCTCTGAAGTAATTTTAGATCAATTTCAGTGTTGAGGGCTGAGACGTTTTCATGTCACCATTCTTTAGAATAGATATTATAGAAGTCATACAAACAATTTTTTAGGAAAAATATTTAATATTTTAATAGTCAGACAATGTTTTTGGATATTCAAGAAAACATTGCATAACTATTTAAAGATTAAATTTTTCTTTAAAATATGTTATTTATTAAACTTCTAATATATCTATTCTAGGGTTTAGGGGTAGCGTCGGGTCATTTTAAATACTTAACTGCGAATGTGGAGACTTGAAGATCGTTTTGCGGGCCTCATGGCAGCCCTGCACTCTCTCCCTCTTTTAAACTGACCGCTCACATGGTTGAGTTGGCCAGATATTCCCGCCTAAACGAAGTGACCGCAAGCTGAGTATAAAAGAGTGGTACAGATGAGTCAGCCTATTCAGTTGAAAACAGGTGCCGGAGCTATGAAATTCACCACCACACTATTCTTAGTAAGCTATATACTACTTAAAAAATATTATCAAAATTTATTTTAAATATTTATCAGCCACGTTTATCAGTAATTTGCTAAGATTTTTTCTTCAAAAAAGATTATACGTATCTTATTTGATGCATTTTTAAAACATTTAAGGTTTTTGGGGTTTCAGAAATCTTTAAAATTGAATATTAGCGCCTAAAGGATTGTATGGTTAGGTATAACTATTAACGGCCTGACCTTTACATTTTCTGTAAATAATTTCATACTGTATCAACAACAAACAAGAAGGAAAATTTTGTCTTTTTTCCTCTTAAAAAAAAATTAAGATTTAAAGGGAAACATTTAGAATTGGACATGAAAGTCTTAAAGGTCACGCTTGGAATTACGTCCCCGGTCTCTTTAATACAGCAGATCAATATTTGTATATTTTCAATTAATATCATTATTTAGGTTTTCAGCCTTTTCGAATTCGTGTTTGGAGCTCCGAAACCAAACCCAGAACCGTCGCCTGAACCAGAACCCTTGGCAGAACCAGAACCCTTGGCAGAACCAGAACCCTTGGCTGAACCCAATTGGACCTATTTCGGCTATCGTGGACATAATCATGGTCATCACTTTACTAGATATGGGCATCTGAAAAATCTGTATCCATTTGCAAAATCTAAAAGAAAAAACTAAAGATGATTAGCTTGCTAACGGTAATCTTACCTTCATAAGAACACAGATCATCGATAAAAAATCAGCAGTAAATCTGAGTCTGGGCAACTCTTTTATTCTTGCCAACTATATTTTCTGTCTTTTATTTCTATACTTTTTTTGTTAATTAATTTTTGAGTAATAAATTTTAAGAAAAAAAATATGTGTATGAGATTTTCAAAGCTTAACTGTACATTCATACATGCTTAAATACTCGTAATCTATATAATAAAGCCTATGAATAAAGCTCATCGCTCATTCATATATTTGTACAAATGTACGTTCATGTACATATGTACGCTGCAGCTATTACTTGTTTTAAAGAAAATATAGTAAATTATTTAAGGAAATTGTTACTTGGGAAAATGTACATTTGGGAAGTTGCCGCTATTCCTTCATGGGGAAGTTGCCACTTGGGAAATTTTCATTTGGGAAAATGTACATTTGGGAAGTTGCCACTTGGGAAAAGGCCTTTGAGAAAGTACCAAACATTACGCCGGGCATTACAGCTAGTTAGACATATAATAATGAGGTCAAATTTACCCAAAACTACTAATACGAATTTGTGACCTCATAGCTCCTCTAGCTTTACATACATTTAGTTCGAAACGAAACTAAAATATGGGGGCCTGTGGGGTTCTCCAATGAAAGGGGGTCTTCAATCGTACTCCAATGATGATGATTTCTTCCAAGACTCCCTAAAACTCTGAATTTAAAATGTTTTCGGAAAATTCTAATTTCTAAGGAAATTCCAGGGTTGTCTGATAGTACAACAACCAATCATAATCCAGGGTTGTCTGATAGTACAACAACCAATCATATTCCAGGGTTTTCTGATAGTACAACAACCAATCATAATTCCAGGGTTGTCTGATAGTACAACAACCAATCATATTCCAGGGTTGTCTGATAGTACAACAACCAATCATATTCCAGGGTTGTCTTATAGTACAACAACCAATCATAATTCCAGGGTTGTCTGATAGTACAACAACCAATCATAATTCCAGGGTTGTCTGATAGTACAACAACCAATCATAATTCCAGGGTTGTCTGATAGTACAACAACCAATCATTAAGCTAGGGGAGTCATCGAATTGTATGAGACCCGAGCTGGAGACTTCAGCATGTTTTTTTTCGATATCACTACTTTCTTCCGACCAATGAGAGTTTGCTCCTTGAACGCGCACCAAAATATAAAATTTCCCAGCTGTTTGTTCGGGTTTCTTCAAACTCCTCCTCTGATTGGTTGAATTTTAAAAACTTGTCTGGATACGATATCAACAATTTTTAAGTTTCGCAGTGTAAAATAATGTTAGGATTTGAATGGTAATCCATCATGGAATTGGAATTAATATTATGGTGATAGAAACATAAACATACATATATCTACCAGAAATACAAAGATAAAATTTCAAAATGTGCAGTTTATTTTCTTATTATCTTAGAAACAAAAGTTCAAAAAAAATGTTCAAAAAAACACAAGTTCTGAAAATTGTTGTTCTCGAATTATTTCAGAAAAGGGCCTAGTTTTTGCCACAAACCCAAATATTCTAATCCCTATATCTCTGCATCCGGATGGTTTAAATCTTGGCGATTTCAAACTTAGATTATTTGATCTAACAGAATTCTTAGTTTGAAAAATCAAAGGTCACCGACATTTAGTTGAAAAGATATGGGGATTGGAAAATCTGAGTTTTGTGGCAAAAACTCAATTCCTTTATTCGACTCAAATAAGATTTTTCCTGAATTTATTATTTTTATCATTTCTTTTAGGTCTGTTTATACCTGTCCGAATTCAACCTCAAGCAAACTTTTATCTCAAGAAGAAATGAAAAAGTAAGATAATTAAAGGGACTGTAAAGGAAAAATGAAAGGTGGTATCACAGGCTGAAAGCTAATCACTTTAGCTCTTGATCGCGACCCATGAAAGTTATATCAAAATTGTATATATATTAATTTTCGTTTAAATTTGAAAAAGTTGTAAATCAGTTTCTCGAGATAGGAACATAAGATAACTTTCATGGGTCGTGATCGAGAGCTAAAGTGATTAGCTTTTAGCCTATACCCCCTTTCATTTTTCCTTAACAGTCCCTTTAATAATTTGAAAATTAGAAATAACAATCTAAAAATTATGCAAGAAAGAAATTTCTAAGCCTCTATATTTAGATCAGTCCTTGTTTTTAATCTATAATTAAAAAAATAATGATTTTTGAAAAAAAATCGTAGAAAAAAAATCATATTTTAAATTATTGATAAAGTTTTTTACCGCCTTTTGACCAACATTACCGACTTATGATTCCCCCAACAGAGCTGAGGGACGCCAAGTTACTTAACACCTCTTGGGACAATTAAGTAAAATAACGACCCGCTCTGCGAAGTTTTAATGAAAAAAATCGCGCATTATCATGTTACAAGACAAAAAAATTTTGTACAACTACTTTTTTTGGGAAATTAAAAATTATGCTTAAATTCCGTGTAAAGTAGTTTTAAATAATTTTATTTTTTATTTAAGCTTTTTTAAATTAAAACCAAAAAATTCTTTTATTTTTTAATGGTGATTTTTACGCCTATCTCCATACCTACAAATGTCACAGAATAATCTCTAGAATATTTTTTTTTTCATTTTTATATTTTTTATAAATATTTTTTAGATGTTCTGAGTCACAAGTGAAGATTGTTCTGAGTAGATTCTTTAGTTTATCTGAATTTGAACCCATTATTCATGAGTTTAAATCCTCAATCATGGTAATCTTTAAATCCAAAGTACTCAAATTTCTATAATCCTATATCTTTGCAAATTGATGTCATAAGTCTGTGGTATTTCAAACTATGAATTTGCTGGATCTTGTGGTAAAATACAAAAAAAAAACATTACGATCATATATCGCTAAGGACCAGAAAATTCATGGACAATCGTTAATAAAAAAAAACAGAACAAAGTTTTTTTTGAACGGAACCAATTTGAAAGTAACGAACGTGGAACGAACTAGGTCATGGCCCTTTTTTAAAAACGTGAAACGAACTATCTAGCTCATGGCCTTGGTTAACAAACGTGGAACGAACTATCCAGCTCATGGCCCTAGTTAACAAACGTGGAACGAACTATCCAGCTCATGGCCCTAGTTAACAAACGTGGAACGAACGATCCAGCTCATTGCCCTAGTTAACAAACGTGGAACGAGCGATCCAGTTCATGGCCCTGGTTAACAGACGTGGAACGAGCTATTTCAAAAATAAAGAAACGTGCCCAGTCCTATAACTGTTAAGAATCTAGCTTAATATGTAAACATTGAATGAAATGGTTGGCATTTTTTATGACAATAAACACCCAATATCGAGGCTCATCCCGAGAAAAAAAAGACGAAAGTTTGTAAATGTTCAAAATTAATGTTTAAATTACTATTTAACAATAGGTTTATATAATCCCGTCCGATCCACGTCATCAAATGAAGACGATCCAACTGAATATGGACAAAGCACAGAAACTCCAACATTTTAAGGTGAAATCTTTACAATTAACATTAGAGAGACTATAGACGTAATTTCAAGTGAAAATGGAAAAATTTTAGTAAGAAAAAGAGGGATAACTTATTCATTCTCGATGAGACAAAGAGTACAGTTGTGAATCTGCCATGCCCCTCTCTAAACGAAGAGTACCATGAAAATACGTCTAAGAACTCTTGTATTTTACCTGGCCAAGGATATTTGAATTTGGCTCCAACAAATTTTGTTACATAACAATTTGACATTTCCTCTAGTGAAATAATACGTTGGCCTGCAAAACCTGTCTTAAATATGCAAATCAACTTTAAAAAGAAGAAGAAAAAGCGAATTCCTAATTATAATATATGACATTTTATCATACTTAATGAAAAATTAGAAAATATAGAATATAGGGATGGACACGTGGTCTGTTTTTAAACATTCAGTGTCCGAATTTAATTAATTTAAGCCGCGTCTCAAATCACCCAAAAACCGGTTCCAATTGAGCGCCGGCTTAAATCTTGAAATACTAAATACAATTTTAAATGGAACCAACAATATTTGAGCCGCGGCTTAAATTTAAGCCGCGGCTCAAATTCTTAAATTTCGCCCTCAGTTTCTTTTTCTTTTAAGAGGCCTCACAAGTGTCTTAAATGATTATCTTATTTCAAATTGTATGTTTGTAATGAATTATGTAATCATGCTAGTAATATCTGATTTATCTATGTTCGTTTATCTATCTTATCATGTTTCATGTTGACCCTGACTGGCCATTACGGTCAGTTGAATTTCCCCTGTATATAAAATAAATTAGTTCAATACGATTAGTCGTTTAATACGGACGTATACATAGCCTTGAGTTGTGGCTAAGGATAGAGAGCCTTGAGTTTTGGCTAGAGATAGAGTCAGCTAGATTCTAAATAGACTTTGAGTAGAGTGATCGTTAAAGTATCTCGCATCTAGATTTCTTACAGGCTGGATAAGTTGATTTTATTACAATTTGCAATTTTATTCAATACTCTGACCAGAGACACAATCTTTTTGAAAATTGTTTTGATATAAAACTATGTTTGTACAGAGGAAATTAGTTGGAAAATATACGCGAACAAACTTGTTAAAAATCTAATTTTACCTTTATATATCTATAAACTAAAACATCCCAGATTCATTTAGAGTGCATTTAAGGCCAAAAACATTAAACGTGTAGAAACGGACCTGAAATAGGGTGTCCCATGAAAGCTGGTAATTATAGTTTAAAATGTCTTCTTCCATAATTTGCTAAGCTGTTTGATACCAAAGAGAATAATAAAGATATTGTATGGGAGTCATCTTATAGTCAAATTGAATTAAAAGTAAATTTTTGGGTAAAAGATCTTTTTAACAAAATAAACTGCAAAAAGTCTTTAATATCTAATACAGTATATGGAAGAAGAAATTCAAAACTATTCACCTACTGGCATGTTTCGTAGGACACACTGCAGACTTGGTAATAAGATGGTCAAACAATACAGTTTTTTTCTAAATAGTAATTGAGTAGGAGTAAAGACTTCTAAATTTTGTCCCTTTAGTGATTAAATAAAAACAATAAAACAACCACTTTAACTTCATAAATAAATATGCTTCTAAAAATGGCATATTGTTAACAATTGGCACCCTAATTGTATAAAAAATTTATATTTTAGATGTTGTGCCACAAAATGACGCAAGATTTGGATTTGAGCGAAGAACAGGCAAGTTAATTTTAAAAATATAAATTAGTGTTTATATATTTCAAATGCAAAACATAATAACTTTAATAAACTGCAGGGTTTAAATGAAAATTAAAAATGTTAAAGTTTAAATAATTTTATAAAGTCAAATTTTGGCTATAAAAGTTTTTTTCTTTTAAATTTAGGCTAAAAACATAAAAAATAAGTAATTAAAGGGACTGTTCGCGTAATTTCAATTGTGACCATCCATTTATAGAATGGCATGTCCGATTTTCAATGATACCCTTTAAACCTTAGTTTGTTCGAGGATTTCGTAGGATATTCTGAATTATATAGCGGGAAATTAAGTGCTTAGTAACCTCTAGTCTCCCAGCACCCAATATTTAGCAATACAAATGAGGGTATCTACCTAATAGTTATCTGGACAAAGATTCTAAAGGTACTGTAGTGAATAGGACATGCCTCGTTATAAATGAAAGGTCACTTGAAATTACACTGACAGTCCCTTTAAAAAATTTGTTATGCAGGGTGTCTTTCTTCCCTTAGCCTTCAGTACAATTTATCACGAGGTTTTTCTTATCAGACCTTGGAGGATTTGGCAGAAAATCAATAGGTAAAAATAGCACTTGGTCACAAATATTGACCTTTCTGAATTTAAAAAGAAATGTTGATAAAGTTCTTAACCGTAATTTTTACAAACTTCTTGTTTCAGTGGTCTTCATTTAACAGTTGATCCGTTAAAAGAGAAAACGAGGTATTTTAAACTAAATGATTTCGCGCCAAAGCATAAATGTCGGCCATTTTGTTTTATCGGCTTTTCCCGCCAAATTGTTTCCATTTTGTTTTGTCCTTTTTTCGGTTTCTCGCCTAAATTAGTTTATTTTACAGCAAATTATAAAACTATTTACCAGGTAGGGAAACATACAAACTGTTGTCTTCTCATTCCACAGTAGTACAGGGTGTACAGGGTGACCCACAAAAGATAAGACGATAACACCTCGGTAGTTTCCTTCAGCTTTAAAAAATTGATGCACTTCTGTTCATAAAGCATTAGAGGCTCTATATGAGACCATTGAAGATTTAATAAATTTAATTAATGTTAATATTAACATAAAAATGTTAATGTTAATAATTAATATTAACATATAAATAAACATCAATTGCTTAAAGTCAATGTTAATGTATATTTAATGT